TATATTATTTAAAAGTGTAGAAAACTAAAATAATCAACACGTCAAACCAACAAGTGAACACCAAAATTTACACACGACTGTTGGAGACTGCAGCAACCCACTAGGAAAATCTAGCGATAAAACTAGATTTTACAGCTTTAGCCTTTTTTAGCCACAACGCAGACATTTAGATAACTGTACGTGTAAGAGTAAGTACATACATACTTTCAATTGAAATTTGTAATAAAAAAAGTAGAAAGCATCAATGATCACGAAGAGCTCAACCATAAAGTCACAAAACATAGAATTTGTTGCTAAATGAATTATGTAAAATTGTATATACTTAAAATACATAGTATATAGTAACTATTTCTAGTACATACTGACATAACTAACGAATTGTCTGACCTGCAATCTACTTGAAAAGAGCTTGTACTTATCAGGAAATGTTGATATTTTTGAAGACTCAGAATGGCTTAGTTCAAATACTCAATGTTATATACATACATATATTTTACTTTAAGGATACTTTAAATCTTTGTTTTGAAAGACATATTAAGAAATTCCCGTCTTTCATAATTACTTAGAGTTATGTAGACGGCGATTTTTGCGAATTACTAAAAAAATATTTATCAACTCATCCATTTCTGCCGAAATCTCTGGCCTTCTCCTTGGATAAAATCTTAAAAATATCTACAGGAGTTATTGTCCGTACAATGACCTATTATCGAAAGCAAACTAAAAACTGACAAAATAGCGGCGTTTAAAAAAAAAAATCGGCCACCTGGTAGGTCATTGTATGCAGAACTAAACTGTATTGGTATGACGTGATTTTGATAGCAGCCATGTTCGCCTACAGATTTGTTTAAAAAATTTTCAGTATTTTCAGTAAAGTTTGCCATTTATTCAAGCCACTTTCGCACAACGCTTGGAAGTTGTCCATTATTCACGTTCTCCGGCGGCTACTATAACAGCTCTTTACACAAAACATAGTCTTGTCAGATGTGGCTCATTTCTGGCTTAATGAATTTGTCAAAAACCAAATTGTCGCTATTGGGGTAAGTCAAATGCTCGTGTGATTCAGAAAACGCAATTGCAATCCAAAAATGGATCATTTGAAGCGGATTGTTGTTTGACAGCATCAGCAGACTATATTTCTTTCGAAAGACTTATTTTCTCTGGCGGTATGTTAAATCAAAGGTCGAGCTCAACAAGAAGACAACATTCAGCGTTGATTGTAAAGTTAGTCTGAGTTAGTATATGTACAAATGGCCAGGCATCAGTCTTCTTGTCCAACCTAATCATTATTCCTCGATATGTAATCATAATAGTTTTAATTGCAGACCGAGCTATATTTTTCCAGTAAAGTTTTCAGATTCAATTGATTTTCCATTCTATTTTAGACTTACAGTTTCATAGCATCCAGCGAGTCGATCAAACTATGCGACATATTCGAACAAATTGACAGCAGCTGAGTTAACATGTTTTCTGATGCATGGGTAATTGTTGTAGGATTATTTCTAGGAGGAAATTCTCTTTTCGCATTAAAAACCTCTTAATGACGCCTTAGCTTGGTTTTATGTAAGCTATTTAGTATAATTGATTCTAAATTTTAATGTTGTTAAAATCAAAGAGAACTGAAAAAAGAAAATAACCTGGGCTGAACTAAAGCTATAATACAGTTCTTATAGCATAAAAGAGTATAAAAACATATTTTTCTTGATGCCGATAGAACAGTTGAAAAGCAAATACATAAATATATGCTACAGTGACTTCCAAACTTAAATACAAAATTTCATGAAGAGTTTGTATGAAAGAAACTTCAAAACTTGTACACATTAATTGAAAGATGAATTTTTAATTTATATAATACTTGGCGTGTCTTTCGAATCGGTAGTTTTTTCTGTAAGTTGGTCTATGCTATATTTCACGTCAAAATATATTCATTAGTATTTAAGATACTCGTCGTTTTGTGAGGCTCTAAAAGTGAATTCTTCGATTTTTGGCTCAATTGACAATATAAAAGCTGAATCGATGGCGGCTCTGATGGTCATCACGACGGAGGATTTTTCCAAGTGCTATGATAACTAGAAAATTCGTTGGCAGTAGTGTATTGTAGCGAGAGGGGATTACTTTGAGATAGATGAAATGGACAAAGTTCGCCTTTCAATTTGATCACAGTAGTATATACTAACATGTATATAAAATATATGTGCAAATGTGTATTAAATTAAAGTTAATAACAGAAAAGCAACTAAAGTACATATAAAATAAGTTAATATAACATATTTTATAGGAATTTTTCTGCTTTGATTAATTTATTTGTCGGCGGCGTGATTGGCAATTATTTCTGAACTCTATTTCATAGCAAATTGTTCCATTTGTTTGATTTCGATGATTAGCGCACAATACCGAATACATTACACTTTTTTTTTTGCTACATCTGTTGTAATAAATGAATAAGTAATTATGTATTAATGTAATTTCGGAATTGCCTCTGTGCTTATATAAGCTATTTGTTACAATAACCAGACAGTGAAATAAACTCGCTATAAGACTTTGGAACTAGTAGGAACCGCTAGTGTAACTAGTCATCTAATGCCAATTTTTTCATTAAGCAACTAAAATATTTCTCGTGTTGTTGTCTTACGGGATGTCAACTGTTTTATTTCGGTTAGATATATACCGGTCTTATACTTCCTCTTTCATCCGAGGCTGTTGTATCGGCAATAGCCGCATAAGACAGATACGTAGCTGTAGAGTTAATTTTGTATTCTCAAGAATAGTCAGAATTTAGATTCTCTACATATTCATCACATTTTTATTGAAGAGTCCAGAGATGTCGGTAAATTCGCCGACGTAAATGTGCTTTCTTATCAACCAATATTTCCAAAGGTTATTTTTCATGACTACTATGAACTTTCCAAAGTTCAATATGCGTCTGTTGTTTTTCTGACTAGTTCGACTTTAGTCAGGAATTTAGACCTAAAATCTCTTCTCTTTCCGCTTTGCTATGACATTTAGCGGGCATTATACGAATATATGTATGTCTACACTGGCATATTGCAATTAATGCCGAATGCCTTGACAATGAATTGTGTTAAGCACGCGCTAGGAAACGCTATTATGTATTTATTGTAATATTACGCATTATATATAGTATACACAGTTTTCATATACGCATCTCTCTTATTATTATGTACATTTGTCTATATTCAATCAATTGGATCAATCATAAAGCCACTTCGTATCGTCAAATATACCCACTTATATACCATATACTCAGTTATATCTAATTCATACGCTAAATTTCGCTGAGTTATGCTTATAAGGTTCCAACAATTTAGAAAACCAATATAATCTCACACTACCGATTTTCTAGCGCCCACTTACCACGCCATCAAACTAATTTTCCTTATACTCAGCATAATATGAACTTCTACAAAGTAAATATAATATGTACACATGCTCATAACTCTTTGCTTAATTAATGTGTAAAAGGTATGCCTGTTCTGTCAAGACTTCCCTAAAAGCCAAGCTTCCTTAATGTTTGTTGGGGGAATACGCTCCGTTTTGGAATAAGCAGAGTGATAGCACAAGAGAAATAAAGTCAACTAGTGTAGGTATTTATGTATGTCAGTGTATGTACGGCTAATACAGCAGAGTTGCCATTTGATCGCAATTATTGATTCCTAATCGTTTTTCATTTAACAAAATAAATTTTTATTTACATGCGAGGGTAGATAGTTTTTGAAAGTAAAATTCATAGTATGATGAACCCCACTTGAAACGAAAGTAAAAAAAAAATAATAATAATAATTTACGAGCGATCTAAGGTCGGAAAGGGGAAGAGGAGGAGTGTGTTTGAATTTTTAAGGGTAAAATAAAGTGTAGAAAAAAATTGTATGACGATGTTGTAGGTAATGAAAACATCTACAACATTTGTAGGGACACCCTCTTAATATAACCTAAAAATTTATGTAAAAAGATAAATACCCAAGTTTTGTTTACCTAATTTTTATCTACATAGTATAATCTTAATGCGATTTAGATATTATGTTTTAACTTAGGACGTAATACGTAAGAAAGAAAAATCCAGAATTTGATATGTATGTACATAGTATGTAGTATATGTATGTAAAAGGCGATCCATTTCCAGGTTCCCTAATTTTTTAAAGAAAAAATAGAAACTTCATTCTAAATTATTCTTTGGAATTTATGTTTTTAACATAACTTCCTTTAAATTCTGGCCATGACCATTAAATAAGGTTTATCCGTTAAGTTCAATTTTAGATGACTCGTTCTCGCCCTTCGACTGGTAACTGGCGAATGACACACGTGATACTTTGCTCTTTCAATAAATCCATTACTTGATGAGATGTATGGGAAGTGGCACCGTCTTGTTGAAACCAAATGTCTCCAAATTCATGAGCTTCGATGATACCAACGTTCTGGGTAATTTTGTCATTTTTCGAGATTTTTTTTTTTTTTTTTTTAACTTATGACAAAACTTAATCCTAGCAAATATGTTTGCTTTGGCAACCCTGATTTATATTTGCAACTTATTTTAGCTTCCTTTATGCTCTTCACTCACTTTTTTTTTTTATTTTCGAGCGAGTAAACTCCAACAACAGCATTACAACTTTCCAGTCTCGTGCTTTTCTGTTTTCCAATTAGCTAATGGAAAAGGATACAATAGTCCTGGATGGCAAGAGAATGCTGAGAGAATATTAACAATTTGTAGCCGCTTTTGAATAAATAAAAGAAGAATAAGAAGTTAGATTTTTTCTGTAACAAAGTTTAAGAAAAATGTGTTGCTTATAGTGCGGAGAAATCGGAGAAGTTATAAATTAATAAGTTAGAGTTTATTAAACTGTGTAACCATAATCAATTTAAAACTGCTAAACTTTTTAAAGAGCGTCTTTAATCAAACAGTTTTAGAAAGAAAATTGTCTATCATTTCAATTTCGTGAAGAAATAT